GAGAGAGCGAGAAAGGTAGGGGGTTCGGTTTTGATGCTGGACGGATCGTTTCCTTGTTCCAGTGGATGCAGCAATAATACCCTTTTCGTTCGCGGATATGGCGGACACGTCTTCTTCGAGAAAGCAAGCGAGGGGCCGAAAACCAACAACCGTGCACAAACGCATCAACAAATGGGGGGAAAAGCGCTACAACAGAGCACGAGCGCATTACACCACCTCCTCCCGCTCCATCACCATCTCTACTTCCACATACAGTCGAACCTCGCTTAAGTTAACGAAAGATAAATGAACTCCCCCTGTAAAGTTAACTTTTTTTTTGGGGGGGGGAAACATGGTGCCCCGCAGAATAGAATATACAAGGGGGGCATCGCGTACAATCCGCGACCCCCCTGAAAACAAGCCGTGGCCGGCGACCCTGTAGACCGCAGAGAGGTCTGCTGCTGCACGCGCTGTCTGCGGGTGTGAAAAGATTATTTCCACCCAGCGGTGCCTCGTCTGCACCAGGCACAAGACGATGCGAGGAACCTACACGCACGGTACACGGGCACGTCTCTTCGATGCGCACATGCCCGTGTGGTCGATGGATGCACGCGTTTTGTGGTCGCGGCATTGGGACGGAAGGCTACGGACAGCAGAGGGAGTGCACGAACTGCCAGAAGATACCTACTTTCGAAAGCTGTGCATTCGGTCACTCACGAAACTCAAGTCAAGCGGCGAGCTAAGGATGGGGGGGAGCTGCAGGCAACTCTGCGCGACTTGTGGAGGAAGTAGCGTGTGCGGTTCTGAACCAACGCCGTGTTTGGGGTGGCCTATGATACGTATGTCTGGAATGCGTCGCAACACATGAGTTAACGCACAGGAGTGGTTGTAGAGTACGGCCGACCAGAGTATCGCGAAGTACGCGCGGAGGTTCACGTGTTCCAACAATAGCATCTTGGGTATAGTAGTGTTCAGTAAAATGGGTACCAACAAAAATCTTCCCTCCAAAATTCCGGTCTCCTCTTTCGTGATACAAATACTGGAGCCCAGTGCGCGTCTATTGACGTATTAACCGCCTCTGTTGGCCCCGGTGATGGTGAGTTATGGTCCCCTGAATCTTAAGTTAACTTCCCCGGCACAAGCTAACTTTTTTTAGGGAAAAAACACGTGTGAACTTAAGCGAGCTTCGACTGTAAACAATAATCCCCCTCTTAACATGAAACCCTTCTCACCTTTATGACTGGACGGCGACTTAAACTCGGACGGGTTGCGCTGCACACCCAACCCCCCCCCGCCGCCGCCGCCGCCGCCGCCGCCGCCGCCACCGCCGCCGCCGGCCCCAGCCGAAGCCGCCTGTCGCCGCTCCAACGCCTTCGACTGCGAAGAATACCCCGCCGCCCCACTAGCGCTAGCGCTACCGGCGCAAGGCGTGGGTGAGACCGAGGAGGGAGGGGGTGGCGGGTGGTCGATGGGGGACGCGCGGCCGCCGCCCCCGCCCCCGGCCCCAGCGGGCCCGGCGTTCGCTACCGGCTTGAACTGCTCCACCTTGTTCTCCTTCACCCTATCGTTTGTTGCGGCGGGACCGGCCGG